CCATGCGTGGGTTCGAATCCCACCGAGGCTACTGAACTTTTCACAATCGACATACAAATCACATTATAATGTCAATTTGATGTTGGGATGTAATGAGTTCAACTTGTGAAATAATGTCATAATAGCTGTTTCGTTGCGCGCAATAACTACTGTATCATCAAAATACCGTCCATATAATTGGGTCGAATTCAGTTCACCTTCCAGTTTGTTTTCCAGTGTTGACAGGAAGATTTGAGTAAGAATTGGTCTCAAAGAGCTGCTGTCCATAGCTACACCACTCACTCGTCCACTACCAATTTGTTCGAATGACTCATCTCAACTCTTATTTTTCATTGTTTTACATGATCATACAAATGTGTGTTTACAGCTGAATGAGAGCACGCGATCAGTTGATGGTCAATATCAGGTCTTCATTGTGTCATCTGTATGAATAGGGAGAAGTGCGTCTCTAATGCATTTTAATCATATCAGACCTATCAATTTATTTATTCCTTGATCAGTTAAAACTTTTATTATTCCATACCACGAATGCTCATAGCACACGTCATTTTCACATTCCATGTGGGATAATGCAATCTGTGATGTTCCACTGTCTTCTCTCATTGCTGTATAAAGCTCGTATACGGGTTTGAACTTTGGCCTAGAGAAATATTTGTGCTGCACATCCGTATAATTCAAATGAGTGAGTGTGGCACATAGGGGTGAGCGGAATGAGGGACGCTTACAGTTGGTGTTGTTTCGCCTATTGCTTATGTCATTGCGTTAACTTCAATCAATCAGTGGTTTTTCTGGACCGAGTTCGGACCGGAAACATAGTAAAGCTTCCTGGATTAAAAAAGCATTGTCGATGCTTCTGTGAGTTAAATCGGCGGGACATATTTGTATTCAACTAACCGGAATCATGTGTGAAAATCACAGATCAGGGAAAGATTTTTTTCTCGAAATGCAAAACGGTTCCCTGTCCAAGAAGAAACTTGGAATACGAAGACAGATTATCGTGCTGCACCAGAACAGTTAACCTTTGTAACCAAATTGCATAGACACCTCTGCAATGTATGAATGCATCGCGAAGGAAGATTGACAGTAGGGTCAAAGTTTAAATGGCTGAGCGTCATGTTACAGATAGAGACCACTGGGATGGAATGTAATTCAGGTGGAAGAAGAAGAGGAATAAAGTGATATATTTAATGATTTGAACGATGAGCTTGAACGGTATTGACGGAGTCATTCACCCTGGACGGGGTCGGGTATCCTATACGGTGTAGAAGGCTTGATTATTCAGTGTTGAAGGCTGAAATGTGATGTACATCACTGAGTGAGGCATAATAAATAACTCTTTCAATGTTCTTCTCTCCTCGTAATTTTGAAGGAGACAAAATCGACGATGATTCCACATATTTGTCTGGCAAGACCATCACGCAGTACATGTATATGTGACTCGTGCTGGTAGAAATATATATCTGGTTATAATACATGAAGATAGTTAAAAAGCTCGCGCACAATTGCAGTCGGAGTCTCATTTTCGGTTTGGCTAACATAAGGAATCTGCGCGAGTGAAATACTTCAATAAAGCCATCCTTCACCAATCAAAGTCCAGTGGACTGAGCAAATATCAGCAATTCAAAACACAAGACCCTTTAGCATTTAGAATGGCAAACATCAATTAGGTAATTCGTTACTTCTGAGCAACAAAGATCATTAAATTGAGTTGAATTGAATTGTTTGTCAAAAGGTTGTCTTTACCACTTGATCGCACATTGGGCTAGCGCTAGATCGCACCTTTTCTAACACAACATTGTGGATTAAATCGCTTTTGAGGAATCGTAGTTAAACCTCGTTTATGGTTTCATGAATAATTGTTCACAAAATAATTGAAGTGGGGACGGGGAGCTAACTGGACTCTGCTAAAAGCACTTTATGCACAGTATAATGGAAAACCTATGATGTGAGCGTATGTTGTTTGAAATCAAGCAGTAATAACAAATCCATATTATTAGATGCTTGTGCTGAAACGCAAAGGGATCTCCTTGTATTTCGCGATCCAAAATAGATCCGAATTTCCCATGGACTCATCATGAGATTACTTTTGTCATTAGAACGTATTCCGTGATCGACGAACCGCATGATCATTTAAATCAGATGTTCAACCAGGACAGCTGCCAACCCGAGACCCCAGAGAGTTGCTTGGTATTAAAAACCCTACGAGGTTTCATCAGATCAGGTATGCTACTGCATTTGGCTACAGCGAATCTAAATAATACCGAATTCGATCGGGTTTCGAACTTTGGACGGATAATGAGATAGCACGCATGATATCTGGTTATTCCGGAGATCATCTACTTCAATATCTGACCAGATTGACTGTTAGCACACGCAACAAACAAGTCTCCAGCTGATATCCCCATCGATTTATTGGGCCATCCATAGGAAACTCATTAGCAAACGGTTTACGGATCCGAGACCCTGTTCTGATGGATTGGATTTAGTGTCCTTGGACCAAATTCCCAGTTGACCTGTTTAAACGGCAATTTTATCACACAGCCGTACAGGTTTACTCATGGATGGTATAAGTCCTCCAGAATGACTGTTTTTCTTTCCCGTTGAGTCGCGTATTAATTATGATTTCCTTTCATGCAGTTACCTAACTGAAACTGCAACAGGTACAATTCCGGAACTGAAATAAAAGTTTTCCAGTCTTTCAGACCTAAACAAACCATTCGAAGGGTCAACC